CTGTCTCTGCTGCTCAGAACTATGGCAGCCTTCTGCCCCTTCATTTGTTCCTGAAGAAATAAAAGCAGCAGCTTCAGCTCTCTACCCATCCGGAGAGTAAGCCTGTCTCTTGCTGTTTCAAAGCAGAATCTCCAGCCCTTTATGTTTAGGGAAAGGTTTTTCCACCATGAGAATGCAGTGATTTCCCTTGGAAGTCATTTCTAGGAGATACCGTGGACTGTTGAAAATAAGACTTAACCTTGAACGCTGCCTGGCCAGAGACTGGCCCTCCCGATTGACTTACAATGATTGCAGGGATCCTCTCAGCCGCAAAGAGGTATATTGCTGTCAACCTCTGAATTTACTACAGGCATCTGAGATTAGCCTCCGTTTTGGAACAGAACTGAGCTAAGGGCAAGACCTTCCTCAAACTTAACTCAAACTTTGTAATTAAGTGGAATTAGCATTGGATTGAAAAGTCATGAATCTGTTCTCCAGTCTCATCGATTACCGTTATTACATGAAACAAGGGGCGACTAAGTGATTAGATTCCAATTTGTATGCGTGCAAAACTTCCTACTCCAATACGGAGATGACCTTGAAGGTCATCTAGAGTATGCTTATTTCTAAACTAAAGTGGTTTTGTATTTTTTTTCAGTGCTTTATACATCTTTCATAATTTTGTATCCTTTTCTGTTTCTAAAAATAAAGCTCAAACTGATTGTTGTCTTGAGAACTGCATCTTAGAAAGCTACGGTTTGGTGTAAGAAAGGTAAGTGCTTCACTCCCATGAAGAAACACCACTGTGCACTGGGAGCCTGCAGGGTGGGTGCAATGGAGACTGGTCACTTTATCCCTCTAGTGCCCTGCATGGAACATGCGTTCTCTGAGGGTGAGTTTAAAACACAGGTACACCTTCCGTAGATCAGTTAAGGTGAGACTTCAGCAGGTGAAACTTCTGGGAGTGGTCACTGAGAGCAGTACGCAAGTAAAATGATGCTTCCCTTTAGACTCTTGCTATCTTGGTCCACAGTCAGAAATATGAAGCGTGCTTGCACAATTTTTCTTATAGTTTAAATACTTGTCATATGAGCAAAAAATAGATTTCCTTCATGCTCAGTCTTTCCAGGGCTCTTTTTCCTGCTACTTTGAACCGTGTTTCAAGAACAAGCCCACTCACAAAGTTTCTGAGCTGTTTTGCTTATAAGAAGGACCAGTAGGCAACACATGATGCAAGGCATGGGGCATGCTTGGTCAAACACAAATCTCTCAGATGAATTGAGGCTGTGCACTTTAAATGGACGTAGTCAGCTACACCTTCAGCTTGGAGACACACTTCTCAGCATGACATGAGAATTGACTCTTTGTTATCATGTGGCACCTGAAGTAATTGGAATTATGTGGTAGCTGGAAGCGCATCCTCCATGCAAGTCCTCAGTGACGGTCCTAGAGGGGTTGGAACGTGGAGAGGCCTGGAAGAGACTGAAGTTGACACCCCACTTACCGAAGAAAAACAGGGGTGAGTGGAGGAGGAGAAGGAGACTTCCAAACACTAAAGAAAAGCTAGTTAAGGGACCTGGGAAACAGTTGACAAAGACAGAAATTGCCAAAGCAAGACATTGACCATTTTGAACCGAAAGGGAGGCACTTCTAGTCTGGTGGGGACACTACTGCTGATAGACCCTAAAAGTGACAAATGTGACCAAAAAAAAGATGATGGCTCTGAAACTGAGCTGGGCAGACATGTAATGGCTACTGACAAAAACAGTTTACAAGTGATTCTAAGCGGCTAGTGAGGACAGCGTATCGCAATACATGGCTTTAATTGCTACCACAAAGCTGCAGTCGTCAAGTCTCACACGCGCACGCGTCCTTCCCCGACCCCCCTCCTTGGCTAACACAGCCCTCACAGCCGTCGTTATTCCTGGGGACGGTCAGATTATGCTAAGTGGCTCTTTCTTTAATTCTGCATTCATTAGAGGGCGAGCCAGGCTTTGCTCACGTATCTCTTTCACATCGGAGAGCTAAAAGCAGCTTAGTTGGAATAACCAGCTTACCACAGGTCAGAAGAAAAACAGCTTAACTATGAAAACCTGCAGCAATTTTGTTATTAGCCCTAGCAACTACGCAGGGCCTGTCCTTTCTCTGCCGCACCCGCTTAATTTCCTCCGTCACCGCTACCCCCTGAGCCAGCTGCAGCTCACGCGCGCCAAGGGGCAAGGGGAGGCTTGCCATCCGCAGGCATGCTGGCAGGGTTTTCCTCAAGGAGCTGTGAAGAGCGAGGAGATTGCTATGCGTGGCCTGTCACAGCTTCTCCTGCCCGCGCTTTATAGTCCCCCCCTTCCCCGAGTGATGCTGCCCATTACTGCGCTGCAAACCACCCCTCTCGGTCCCCAGCCACTTGTTAGTCAAGGCGGGTACGTTCATCCGGCGGGGACAGCCGAAACACTGCTCGCCGCCAAGCCTGCGAAGAGCTCTCAGGCTGCAACGCCTTTGCGGAATGAGGGGAACTCTGCATTACAACAGCTCGTTTCTTGTATTAGGGGACCTCTGGGAGCAGCCCCCTCCGGTGGGGTCTCTGCTGACCCCCCGCAGACATGGGATGCGCATGGATGTTGCAGGCACGTGCACCGAATTCAGCAGCTTCATCAGCAGCTGCTTGTGGAGCGGTTCCTCCACTAGTTGCATGTAAAAGGAAGAAAACAGGAAGACAACTATTTTATCTGAGATTTCCTCTTCCAGCAAATGCCATCACGTCAGGCACAGGTCCTGCCAGAGCATCTGAGAACGAGCCGAGTCCCGGCTGTCCATGGCATGCATCGCCTACACCTGAGCACACTGCAGATGGGCCACATCGGCTCAGGCATCCCAAGCCTGGGGACAAGCACCAGCAGCTCCAGGTCTGAGAGGCTTTCAGGGATGCCGCCAGTGCCCAGGAGGAGAGGAAAAAGAAAAGAAAATGTCTCACGGATCCGTCCCACATACTTTAGAAAAAGCATCAAGGCCCAACTTGCAGGCAGCCTCGGCGCTGCTCCATTCCGGGCAGCTCCCAGAAGCAACTGAAGTCCTCCAGCCTCGGAAACGACTGCTCCAGGAGGAAACAGGCGCATGCGCTCCGTACCCACCACGGATAATGACAGGATGAAAACTACGCGGTGGCACTAGTCAGGGGAATCAAACATGCTTACAGATGCTCGAAAACCTCCTCATTCCTTGTGCTGGGAGCACAGAGGTCTGGATGAGAGCAAGTTAAGCTAACATCGGGATGTAACAGGCAAATTTTGACCACGAGCTAGGCTGCACCACCTTTTGTCCTATCCAGGGCCGGTTCGGTCTAAGTGTAAATACCCGCAGGTACCTGCGTGCCAGTGCCTTTCAGCAACGGGTCAAACGAAGCGGGCTACCTGTGGCACACGCCCTCCCCAGCAGCGGTCAGCCTCCGGGTAATAACACA